AGCCTGGTGGAGGAGAGTTCGGACGCAGCTTCTTTAATGAGCTGCAGGGTGGATGATCTCAACATTTGATCCTTTCCTAAAAGCGCTGGTTTCGACGTTACCATCGCCCAGTCTTTGTCTTCTCATATCCAGAAACGGTAGGCTGCCTTCTAGTGCCTCTTCACCTGTCTGGGAAGACGCTATTCAGTCACTGATGCAGCCATTCGCCTTCACGGTTCTTTATGGTGACAAAGATGCCGTCTACGCAACGAAGCCATATTTTGGGCTTCAGGGTTTAAATAACTTCTTATTCGAACCCCTGTAAGACTGGTTCGGCAAGTAGTTCTGATTTTGGCGGATGATTGGGACTCCCTTAACCTGTTCGTAATGGCTTACACTAACTCCCCTTGATTGCCGGACGGTTGCACGGTGACTAGCAGGCAGTAACGGAGAAGTGATGGTCTGGCAAGAATGGTCGTCCCGATCCCACAGGGTTGCACAGCCGAAATTCGAACCCCAAGTCAGTTGATCATGGAGTAAAGCCAACATGTCAGCGTCATGTCGGCTAATATGGGAAGTAATTTGTTACATTGGGGATTTGGAAATTTCTTTGACAAATACTGGGAATAATAGCGTAGTTATTGCTGGATTTTCGGCCCTCATTAGCCAGTGATACGTAACCTTGGGCGTGCACTGGAGATCTGACCAGCAGAAAAAATATAATTTGGTTCATTGTCATCACCAGCTTCTTCCTTTTCTCAGGCAATCAGGACAGATGACGTGTGTGATTCTCCCACTTTCCTCTGTATACACCAAACCATCGTCTATGGACTGCGAATCCGTGTTGCCCAATGAAAATAAGCAACGTTCGAGTTCCGCGCTCCTGAACTTAACGTTTGTGCAGGGCTTACTGACAACAGCAAAAAGACCACGTTGATCCACCTGTAGAAATCTCGGCGAACTTCGTGGCATTCAAACTCACGACAACAAGGGCAAGCCTGGATTACAGAAAACGCTCTAGCCATTTGACCTACCAGAACCCCACTGGGAGCCGAGACCGTCATAAATGGGCTCAAAATCAGACAACGCCAAACTGACGCTGTCATATTTTGGGCTTTAGGATATGAACAGCCTCTTATTCTAGTCCCTGTTAGACAGGTTCGGCAAGTAGTCATGATATTGGCGAGATCATTGGGGTTCCCTTAACCTGTTTGCAGTGGACTGCACCAAGTTATCTTGACTGTCGGACGGAAGTGAGTACTTCCGCTTTGCCCTGGAGCAGACGGTTGCACGGCGACTAGCAGGCAGTAACGGAGAAGTGATGGCGTTCCTAATCTCGAGTCTTACCAAATGAACTATTTGAAGGATTGTTGTAGTTAGTTTACAATAAGGCAACCCCACAACCCTGTTGCGGAGTTCTCCATAGGAGTACTATGGAGTACCTATAATGCAAGACATGATTTGTCCTTAAATGAAAATGAGTAGACATGTAAATTTGCCTGAAAAACCTTAACGACACGGTAAGTTCAGCCGATTATTGGACGCCAGGACACGGTACTCGAGGTTCAACGATTAAACAGAAATGGAGGCCGGGTAGATTGATGTACGCGCGTGACTGTAAACATTACTTTAAGTATGCATTAGTCTTCAGAAAGCGCACAAATCGAAGGGATTCGGGAGATTTCAGGTGATGCAAAAGGTCCCTTAGAAGTTCGAGATGTCGACTGCTTTGTTGACCGATATGTTCCATACATTCAGAGAATAATTCTCCGGAGGATGCAACCTTCTACCAATTCCATGAAGGAGAGTTAGAGGAAATAAATGACTCCGCCCAGTCTTCAAATTCGAACCAAAGCACAAATACTACTCAAAATGTCGTTTACTGCTTACTGAGACCAACAAGTGGTAACTTAGGCGATTCTCGGAATAAAACCAGCCAACTTTAATGTGTGAATTATCCCGAAGTGTATTTCATATCAGCGGCCACCATGCATACTGGGCTAGCGAGAAATTCAATGGAGCCGACTTTCTTCCAGTCAGAAGCGACAACTGTAATTTAAGGATCAACAGCAATTATTTGGCAATGGGGAATTATTTTCTCGGAAAGGACAAAGGCTTGAACGCAGTGCGCGAGTTTGCCTCTGAGCTGAAAGCATCCGAAAGTGTGGATCGACAAGTGAAAAGCAGAAACGTATCCAAAACTTGCATTTGCTGTCCTCCGTTGATTACACCCGAGGTAAAAATTCAAATTCGTAACAAATGTGCGGATTTACAAGACCTCGAGGGCTTCAGTGCTGTCTTATTTAGGCCAAGGTATTGACTCCGACTGAGATCCAAAATGCTGACAACTATTGCTTAGAAAGCAGCGTCTAGTGAGATGGATCGATGGATTTTCTACCATGTACACCCTCATACGTGCATTTTCAGAGCTCGGGAATCGACTACTGGCTAACTCGCAATATGACCTTCAGAGCAAAATATAGTACTCGAAGAATGATGAAGAAAGCTTTTGCCGAGTCATATAATAATGTCTTCGTGTGAAGAAGCGACAGCGTATAAGAAACAATCAATATGTACGCGCTTTCGTTTAATAAAACACAGCTGTAACTTCCTATTGAACAGCTGGGGGTCAGATATGGGTATGTAGCCCCACCTGAAGTAAGCAAACCCCAGTCATCTCAAATACAGGACCGGCGGTAGTACGGCTTTTTACAGGGGGAGGGGGGGGGGGCGGGGAACGCACAGGCGACGATGTCAAATTCTTGTATGCAAAAGAAAAACTATTGGGTATGCGCGGTTGTACTTTGAGTGGTTGAGAAGTGGAGCGTATCCGGCTCGGGCCGTCAGGACATCATGCCAAAAACGCAAGCCTCCTCACTTGTGCTGTCTATCGTACTCAGTACACGTCCTATTTCCAATTAGCCTTCTGTGTTGCATACATAACATTGGCGACGCAGCCTAATGAACATGTCTTCATTGCTGCCTACACCGTCACCTTTCTGGCCAAAGAACACCCAGAAGCCCTCAAATGACTCGTGGTTGCAATGGAGGAAGACATTTGACGAGTATATTGAACTGCTCCCGATTTTGTCACCCACGATTGTACTAGACATCCCATCTAAGTTGAAACTCCTCCGGACGAATCTCGGGGAGTTGGGACAACGATATTTCGATGCCCTCAATCTACAACAGGCTATAGATATCCATACAGCCTTCTCAAAACTCGAGTCAGCGTGGGGAGGAAAAGACAATTCTTTCTCAGTCGATATCGGTTTTGTCAAATGCGTCAAGAATCCAATCAGTGTGTCAGTGATTTTACTACTAATCTGGCTCTGGCCATCCAGGACTGTGGGTATAAAGAGAGCAAGGCAGACAACTTCGAGCACGCAATGCTCGTTCAGCAGTTGATCGTCGGTCTGCGCGATGAAAAAGCTCGGGAAAATCTTTTATCGGAGAAGAAGGATTTGTCATGGGAGAAAGCCTGTGATATCGCCAGTCATCAGGAGCGCGTGCGGCAAAACCTTCAGCAGCTGATTCAGTCAAACGATGGAGTGATAGCATCCTTGGAATCGGAAATGGCTGTCTCCCTAGTCAACTCTGCTGTGTCTTCACCTAGACAGCGACCCTCAGCTCCCTCAAAACAACTACCATCCTGCTACCGTTGTGGTCAGCATCATATCCGGTGGTCAGACTGTAGACACCAGAAGACGGTATGCCAGTTTTTCAAGAAAGTCGGCCACATCGAACGAGTGTGTTTCTCCAAAAGACGGGCGAATACTAACACGCATGCAACCTACCCTAATACAGCTGGGGATGGCGAGGCGATACTCCGAATGTTTTCGGCCAACGCGCCGCTCCAATCACCCCACACCATCACGCTTCCGGTTGATCACCATCCCGTGAAGTTTGAAATCGACACTGGCTTAGCTGTTACTCTCATAAATGAGGTCTCCCTTCAGAAATTATCCTCCCACCTTCCGGCCAGCTCAACATTCCGCAGTTATACTGGACAGAACGTAGAGGTTCGAGGGGTCTTTACAGCCGAAGTCGAGCATGATGGAGAACTTCATTACTTGCCGGTCCATGTGGTGAGTGGAAACCAGCAACCAAATCTCCTTGGACGAGATTGGATGAAATGCGTGCCTTCTGTGCTATCCTATGCACATCGGATTGGTGTAAATCCGGCTTTGGATTCAATTTTGGTAAATCATAAGGAGCTATTTCGTGACGATTCAGCTACCCACTACCGCAGTCCACCTGTTAAGTTCCAGTTTCAGTCAGATTTCCGGCCCCGGTTCTTCAAAGATCGTACAGCCCCCTATGCAGTTGCACCGAAGGTCGAAGAAGAGCTGGATCGCCTACAGAAAGCGGATATTATTGGGCCCGTGCAATATTCGGAATGGGCAGCCCCAATAGTTCCTGTTCTTAAAACCGATGGCTCTGTACGTATCTGTAGCGACTACAAGCTGACAATCAACTAAGCAACTAAAGTGAACCCTTATCCTCTCCCGCGCATCGAGGATCTGTACGCATCTCTCTCGGGTGGTCATCAATTTACAACGTTGGACCTAAAGCATGCCTACAACCAAGTCGTCCTAGATACTGAATCCCGAGACGCCACCACCATCAATACGCATCGGGGTTTATTTCGATACAAAAGACTACCATTTGGAGTAAGTTCGGCTCCAGTTTTATTTCAATGCTTGATTGGTAACCTCGTGAAGGATATACCTCACGTTTGCGCATATCTTGACGATATATTAGTCACCGGCCCATCTGAAGTTAGTCATCTAGAGACTCTAAACATCGTGTTAGGACGTTTAGAGGACGCAGGTTTTAAACTCAGGAAAGATAAGTGCAATTTCCTTGCCGACTCGGTATAATACCTGGGCTACAGGGTGGATAAAATTGGCCTCCATCCACTCGAACATAAGCTCAAAGCCTTGAAGACGGCGCCGCGCCCCAACAATACTAGTCAATTGCGTTCATTCCTGGGGTTGGTCACCCACTTTAGTCGCTTTATGAATCAATCAGCTACAATTCTAAAGCCTCTTTATCGACTAGAAAAGAATCGTTGCTGGCACTGGTCGGAGGTCGAACAAAGTGCTCTTGAACAAGCAAAGGCGGCTCTTACCTCCTCATCTGTCCTAGTTCACGATGACCCCGAAAAGCCTACCATACTGAAATTTGATGCGTCTCCGTACGGCGTAGGTGAGGTTCTCATGCATCGAATGCCTTCTGGTGCAGATATGCCGATTGCCTTTGCATCAAGAACCATTTCACAGGCGGAAACCAACTATTCGCAACTAGATAAAGAGGCCTTAGCAATAATGTTTGGCCTACATCGCTTCCACCTGTATCTTTTTGGCCAACCCTTTGAGATTCACACTGATCACAAACCCCTCTTAGGTTTGCTGGGAGAAAAACGAGGGATACAACAGATGTCCTCGCCGAGAATGCAACGATGGGCACTCACTTTGCCTGCTTACACGTATGCAATGAAGTACATTACAGGTAGTGCAAACGTAGTGGCTGACGCCTTGAGTAGGCTGCCTATCGTGGACGATGGCATTAACGGGGTACCTGTTTTTGAGCCGGTGAATCTTTTGAAGAACCTAGTCAACTCACCTGTAACCTGTCAACAAATTCGACAGTGGACATCGAGAGACCCTCTCCTAAGTCGGGTAAAAAGAGCCTTGCAATCTGGCTGGCCGTCCTCTACCTCCTCTGATTTTCAACCATTCTTCAGCCGTCAGATTGAGTTAAGTCTACAAGACGGATGCATACTATGGGGCAATCGTGTAGTTGTGCCACCACAAGGCCGATGGGCCATCCTCAGAGACCTGCATGATGCTCATCCTGGTACAGTTAGAATGAAAGCTCTCGCCCGCAGTTATGTTTGGTGGCCCAAAATTGACGCAGATATAGAAAACGTGGTGAAAGCATGTCACGTGTGCCAAATAACACAGAAGACCTTACCGAAGGTTCCTCTGAAGCCTTGGGCCTGGCCCGACTCGCCGTGGAAGAGGGTACACGTCGATTATTTTGGGCCATTCCAAGGCCATATGGTTTTGGTGGTAGTTGACGCCCACACGAAATTGATAGATGCGATTCCGACAGGAAATTCTTGTTCTTCACTCACTACAATCAACAATTTGCGAACCGTTTTTTGGGATACCTGAAATGGTCGTTTCAGACAATGGTCCGGCCTTTAATAGTGCAGAACTTAAAGATTTCATGGAGAAAAATGGAATTAGACATTTAACTACTGCCCCGTACCACGCTGCTTCAAATGGCCTCGCAGAGCGTGCAGTCCAGACAATAAAGCACGGACTAGCCAGACAGACAGAAGCGGACTTGGCCACCAAGTTGTCACGCTTTCTATTCAGCTATCGCATTACACCGAACGACTCAACCGGTGCTTCGCCTGCAGAATTAATGTTCAAGCGGCAGTTGCGCACACGACTCGACCTGCTTAACCCATCAGCGCAGGATAGAGTCATTGCAAAACAGACGAAGATGAAAGAACGATATGATGTGAACACACGACCACGAGAGGTCGCGCCTAACGAGTGTCTACACGCGGCTGGAACACGAAACGAACTGGTGTCCAGCGGTAGTTCGAACAAGCGAGGGGCAAATAGTGGAATTAGAGTTAGAAGATTTGAGAATTGTGCGTCGACATCTGGACCAAGTTCGAAGCCGAACGGACATAGAAAGTAGAGAATTCGGAAAGTTCGAACCGCCAGCAACCCTGGATAGGGATCCTAACATCCCGAGGACTGAACCCCTACTGCCTGCACAGAGCACTACGCCACCGACCGAGGCGTATGTTCCACCTCCTTCTACCTGGGCCAGCACTAGCTTAGGGGCAGAGGAGCCAGTGACTGCACAAAGCGGCGCAGAGGTAGAAAATACCGCCCTGAGAAGGTCGACCCGATTCCGCAAACCTGTCCAACGCTTTCAGGACGAATCTTATTAGAACATTGTCTGACTATCCACTATTACCTTTACTGTTCCCCTCCCCTCATGCTCTCCACTTTAGGGTGAAGGGATGCAGCGTATCCGGCTCGGGCCGTCAGGACATCATGCCACAAACGCGTGACAAGCGAACGATCAAGGTCATGGCCCCCTGTTCACACCTTTGTGCTGATTGGCCACCCATTAGCCAATGATAGTCCCCCTTGCCATATACCCGGCCGTTTCCACAAGCCTCCTCACTTGTGCTGTCTATCGTAGTCAGTACACGTCCTATTTCCAATTACCCTTCTGTTTTGCATAAATAACAAGAAGTATATGCTGTAACCCTTAACCGCTAACCCCTAACCCTGACCCCTGACAGTACTGTGTTCATCTGGTACGGATACATAACCCAGCTTCTGCTTCCCCGTGGTTGGGACTTTGGTATCGCGCAGACATAAATGTCAGTTCTTCAATTTCTTGAAAGAGTCACTGAAAGATGTAATTTAAGTTATCGACCGCCGTCGTAGCTTTTTGTAAAAATTTGTGTTAAACAGTACTGCAACGGGATTTAATCTATTGTCTCTTTATAAAAACAGACTTAAAGACTACGGTCCATGCGTCATAATTCTGATGTGTACTATAGTTCATTTGACTGAACACAACCGGACCTCGGCCTCGTGCTGCGTGTGGTTGGCTGCTACATTACGTTCAAGGTCGTTCCCCAGACATTCGTAATGACGTCTTTCCGAGTTGGCGCTGCCTGGGCGTTCCCGGGCGAGTTTGGTGAGGGCGCACCGCAGTATGCATGCCGTGGCCCAACTCATAAGCTCTCGCGATTACTTGTACGTGCGCACCAATTGCAGTCTGGTTCTCGGCCAATGCCACCGCTGTCCAAACTTGCCAACCACCTTCGAGGCTGACTCAGACATGACCTCCACTGGAGGCACTGGACGGCTGCCCCACTGTCTAACACTCGCAGACAACGCTACGGTGGCGTCGGACATGCCCTCGTCCGACTGCCGACTCTTATCAACCTCTGCTCTAGTTGTCCTGTACAGAATTCAACAAGCTCCCAACAGTCGTCCCACTTTTTCTCTTCCTGTTCGGACGTGCGCTTGATGATTGTAGTTGTTATGGTCTCTGGTAGCAATGAGGTGGCTGACGCACTTTCCGTGCCCTCCATCGCACATCTCCAAGGTTCTCCCAGCATCGACCTAGCTGAGATGGCCGCTGAACAACGTCGTGTTGGTTATCCCTGTGATGAGGACGTTTCCGGACTCCAACTCTAGGAATTGCCACGTACCACTGGCAATGGCACCATTCTATGCGACGTCTCCATCACTTCCCACCGTCCATTTGTGCCGCCATCCCTCCGCCGAAGTGTCTTCTCCTACCTAAACCACCTTTCTCACCCTGGGAGTCGTGCTACCGACAAACTGGTTACCGACCGCATCGTCTGGCCTGGGATGCACACGGACCTGAAGGCATGGACATGCGGGTCTCTCGGCTGTCATCGAGGTAAGGTCCAGGTACACAACAAAGCTCCCATCGACACCTTCCCCACTCCGGATTCACGGTTCAGTCATGTATATCTGGACAACGTAGGCCCCTTGCCCCTGTTCAGTGGCCGTCCCTATCTCCTCACGTGCGTGGATCGACTCACCCAGTGGTCCGAAATGATCCCTCTGCTGATGTCGCTGCTACAACAGTCGTCAAGGCTTTCCTCAGTCGTTGGGTTGCCATTTTTGGTGCCCGTGGACTATCACGACTGACCGCGATGGCTAATCCAAATCTCATTTATTCCAGTCTCTTCTCTCCTGTTTAGGCTCTATTCACATCCACACTACAGTTACTCATCCGGATGCCAATGAGAGGGTTAAGCAGTTCAACCGCCAGCTGAAGGCCTCCCTACGCGCCGCAGACGATCCAGATATCTGGACGGACCCCCTCCCCCTGAGCCTGTTGGGCATCAGCTCATCTCGCAGGTTGGATCTTGACTGCTCCACCGCTCAACTGGTGTTCGGCGTCACCGTCCGACTTCCTGGTGAGATGATCTCGCCAACCCCGCGAGTTGCAATCGAGGATCCTGCCAACCTCCTCCACCGTCTCAGACAATTCACGCGGACACCTCCCCCGGTTCCGCCCAGGCCATCAGTCTCTAAACCCAATTTCGGATAAGACAAAGCGACATGCTCTCACGTCTATCTCCAATGTGGTCTAGTCCGTCGGCAGCTGAACCACCCTAAGACGGCCTCTACTGGTTTATCTCTCGTTGGACGAAGAACGTCCGCATCATGCGCTGAACTCGCGAGGTCGTGGGTGTGAACCGCCTGAAGGCAGCAGTCCGGAGCACTCCTACGGACGCGCACTGTGGTCCCCTGTCTCCTATCCCACCTCCCTATCCCTCTATCCCTCCTTACAGGTTACTCTCTCTTCCCCATGTTCACTACATCCAATTGCAAGTACCCCCTCACCAACCTCCAACAATCTAGCTGCAAGATATACTCACTCTTCCCCTGTGCTCCCTGTATATATCACACGTAGTGGACTGCATGTTCATTTTCCTAACCGTTTGATTACTCGTTTTTTTACACATGGACGGTTCCTCCGACGTCGCTCCTCACCGCCTATGGTCTAGACTGTGGGCACTGTGGCAGTCCGCGATTCCTTTTTCTCCGCCCCTTCGTCTGTCTACGCTTCTGTCCGCTTCACACTCCCTATCGCTTCGCTGTTGGGACCGCGCGAGTCGTAGCACTAGTCTCCCGAGAGCGCGAAGCCAATTAACGCCGCCCCGTCTCTGATTGGCTGGCTGACGCTAACTGGGACAAAACGAAAGGCGCACACACGCGCTAGAAACTAGTAACGTCGACGAACTTTTGTTTTGCCGGACACACCGCTCTCGAAGACTCCACTACCCAATGAATGACATGGGGATTAACAGTAGTCACCCTCTTCCCCCTCCACCCCGACGACTACAAAAATTGCTCCTGTAAGTATGCGGACAATGAGTGCCACAGTCTCTTACCACTCCCCAGGGCACACTGTTAAGTCAAACCCATATAATTAAAGTGAGATTTAATACGATAGTCACCTCCAACAACGGAAGCTCGTGAGCTTCTTAAACGTCAGACCAATAAACTATGGTTCCCAAGATCGCGTTTTCGTCTGATATTAACATATATGAGAAACAGAGAAGGATCGTAGGAAAAAAATAAAATTGTACTGTGGATTTTCAAGTTGGGGACACCAAAACGTCATCAGAGGAAATGAACAGAGGAGAAAGTGAAAGGGTCAGACTAGACCAAATGGTCCAACAGGACAGACACTGACAGAGTGAGCACATAACTACGGCAGGGTTTTGGGCTAGAGAAGGGGGGAGGAGAACTGTTGGGGGAAGGCGGCTGGCAATTCAATGGGACTGCAGACGGTGGTACTGGCGATCGTCGATGGGGCATTGGTGGCCGAAGTCAGTGCGTCGATGTTGGAGGCGTTAGGAGACAAAAGAACCACCATCGGTAAAGAAAAGGGGTTACAGTCTCCAAAGAAAAATAACGCATACGGCGGCGCATCTATCACCATTTAAAAAAACTGATTACGTCAACAAGGCTAACCAAGTCCTCAGCGACGGGAAAGCCTACACACCACTCGCTGAGGATCTAAATAAAATGCAGGCCGCTGCTACAGGCTACAGCTGTAAAGAAGAAGGCGGATGAGCTCATTCAAATGAGATTCATAAGTCCCCATTGCTCCAGAGTTATGACCGTCAGTAACTCCCGCATCGCACGTGCATATGGCCTCCCAAAGGCGCACGGAGCAGATGCACCATTGAGGATTATTGCGCCCCTCATTGGATCGCCCACTTGCAAACTCACCAAATGGTTGCACAGACACCTGAAGCACCTCATCGATGGATAACAATACAGCGTCACAGACTTGTAGGCATTCCTCCACAGGATCCCAAAAGGAAGTCCGGATGAGTGCATCCCATCGTTTGATGTGGTTGCCCCATTTTCCTCACTGCCATATGATCTGGCAATTGAGAGTGTAACTTGACGCATGCAATGCAGCACGTTTCAGAAATGCTTAGACTCTGTCTCAAGAACCACTGTCACGTCGATGGAAATTTTTATCAACTGGTTACGGGCACTCCAATTGGCTCACCAATATCGGGTCTACTCGCAGGACTGGTATAACAACAGCAACAACTATAAGAGGATATGTAGGTGAAGAAGTACAAAGTTGAGCAGTTGCTAGCAGAGACGCGACAGAGGGCATCCTCCTGTTCCAACGATGGCGACCTCTCAACGAGCGTCCACCGAAAAGGTTCTAATGCTTACATCTTCCATAACTATGAAGACCATCATTCTGCGACCCATAAAAGGTGCTGCGCCCGACCCCTTTTTACCGGGCCTATCGTTATTGAAACAGCAATGGTCTACTTAAGAAAGAACTCGCTTTCCAGTATCAGTTATTCCGGCTCAACGGATACCTGGTCAGCTTTGTGTAAAGTTGTTTCAGACATCAGAGACAACTACAAGGCATTGCTTCTAATGAGGGACCGGAACTACCGAAATTCTACTCTATACCCTACACGTGCACGGCATTTCTGAAGTGATCACACGTCAACTAAACCGGTTTGGCATTTTCATTGCCCATAAGCCGGCGTCCTCCGTGCGCGTAACACTATCCCGAGTGAAAGACCCTACACCGAAAGAGTAGCAAACCAATGTCATCTACCATATTCCGTGTGTCAACTGCTCTAGCGACTATGTTCGTCATACAGACCGAAGACTTGGGAAGCGTATAAACGAACATGAACTAGCCATCCGCCGACGTGACCCTTTGTCACTCGTGTTTGCGCACGCGCTTGAATGCGACCGTCGCATCAATTGGGACGGAAATGAATTTGTTGCCATGGCAAACACGGCAAACAGGCTCGTGAATCCCTCGACGCCTGGCACTCTAACACGACAAGCATCAATCGCCTGTCGATATGGGCGCACGTTACGAAGGTCTGCTTGCCCGGCTCACTGACTTGCGTCTACGATCTAACAACAGCCGCTAATCCACACTGGGCCATGTAGAATGGAACTATTTCGCCACCCCATTACGGCCTGCTATCGAACTGCCAACATGGGTTCCGGAAAGGAAGATCCTGCACGACAAACTTGTTGCAATCTCTCCAGAGCTGGACCCGAGCTCTCGACGACAGGCACGCGGTCCACATAGCCTTCATCGACTTCCAGAAGGCATTCGACACTGTGTCACACCAAAGGCTCTTACATAAGCTGAAAAAATAGGGTTCGGTGGCAACTTCCTTAAATGGATCGAAAACTTCCTTGTGGGTCGACACCAGGTTGCGTGCGTCGGTCGGGGAAAATCAGATCCGCCTATGGTCGATAGTGGTGTCCCCCAGGGTTCAGTTCTGGAACCCATTTTGTTCCTTATCTACGTGGACGATGCCGCAAGAGATTTAGACTGTGAAGTAGCAATGTTTGCGGATGACATGAAGATATGGAGTGTAATTCGGGGTCCTGCCGACGAAGACAGACTGCAGATGAACCTGAATCGGTTGGAGGAGTGGTCAAACCGTTGGCTCCTGCGGTTCAACGTTGCCAAATGTAGCATACTTTGCCTAAGCAACACAGCCAGACCCGCCAGCACAAGAGACAACTTTCTGGGCGGTGCAGCCCTACAAGAGGTCGAAGCCCAAAGGGACCTCGGTGTGCTGACGACGAGTTCTCTAAAACCATCCGCCCACTGTTCGAGGGTGGCAAATAGCGCAATGTCCGTACTGTACGCCACCAAGCGTGCGTTTATGGACTTTGACGAAGAAGCTTTCTCTAAGACATTCGGAACATTCGTCCGGCCGCATTTAGGGTACGGCATACAAGCTTGGAGGCCGTGGGCTGTTGAGGATCAAAACTGCCTCGAAGGAGTTCAGAGGAGAGCCACGAAGATGGTTAGGGGTCAAAGCTCCTTTCCTTATGCAACCCGCCTAGTGCGGAAGTTCTCCTTCTCGGTTCGGGTGGTCAAACCATGGAATGAGCTTCCCGCAAATGTTGCGATGTCACCATCTAAACAAAGTTTTAAGAAGAATCTGGACATATTTATTTTCCGAAATGACCAATAGCGATGAGAAGTTGAGCTCACCCCCTGAAACTCCTTCTCATTTTGTCCCACCATTATGGGCGTGTTCGAACTATTTCAGCCCAGAACATCTATCTGTACACCACACATTTTTTACGTTGCAAATAGGGTACTCAAAGGCTTACGCCTATTTCCCTCAATAAA